CAGCATTCTAGAGTAATCAGGAGATGAAGAAGCCACAGATGGGCATCCTGGCAGCGTTTCAGTGCTTTTATGATCCAGGGACACTTCTGTTCTTTGCTTCCTCCTTTTGTCTTTGTCTTTGTCAGTTTCTCCCTTTTTTCCTTTTTTTTGTTTTTTTTTTTAACTATAATAACAACATGTAACATGAGATCAACCCTCTTAACAAATTTTTAAGTGTACAGTATGGTATTAATTATGAACACATGTTATAGAACAGATCAGTAAAACTTTTTTTTTAATAGTTTATTTATTTATTTATTCATGAGAGACACAGAGAGAGAAAGAGAGAGAGGCAGAGACATAGGCAGAGGGAGAAGCAGGCTCCTCGCAGGGAGCTTAGTGCAGGACTCGATCCCAGACCAGGATCACGCCCTGAGTGGCAGGCAGACACTCCACCACTGAGCCACTCAGGAGTCCCATAAAAACTTTTCATCTTGCTTAATGGGGTTTGTGCTTCTTGAAGTTAAATTTTAATACCTGAAGCTAAAAAGAGTTAATACTCATATACCAACCAAATGCTTAAAAGCAAAAAGTTTTTTTTTTTAAATTTTTATTTATTTATGATAGTCACACACAGAGAGAGAGAGAGAGAGGCAGAGACATAGGCAGAGGGAGAAGCAAGCTCCATGCACCGGGAGCCCGACGTGGGATTCGATCCCGGGTCTCCAGGATCACGCCCTGGGCCAAAGGCAGGCGCCAAACCGCTGCGCCACCCAGGGATCCCAAAAGCAAAAAGTTTCAAATTGGAAGTTTTTGTTATTGTCATAGTTCTATGAAACATCCACAGAATTGTGCGAGTTTAAATATTCATAAATAAAGCTAAGGCTTTAGAAGACATTAAAAAATAAAAAATATTGACATCATTTTCCATATTGCTCTGAAAGTACATTATGACTCTGAACACTACAATAGTCCAGAGAATAATATCACTGTTTACATTCTGGACTCTGGAAAAAGAGGAACCGAAGCAAGCCTCAGAGGAAATAGGTAGAAGGGGAGGATTTTAAGCCTCTGTTTTAAAGTTTTGAAAGTTTTTTGTTGTTTGTTTCTAAGTGTATTGTTCTGGTTCTTTTAAAAGAAAGCAAATTTCCAGAAACTATTTAGACCAAAGCAAAAATGAAATTTCTTTTCAATTATAGCAATTTCAACATAGGCATACTAGAAAAATATTGTCCACAGCAAACCCCTGCAGTGGACCCTCTAGGAACATAATTCATGTTATCTCAAAGGAGAGACAGAAGCTTTGCAACTGATACAGTTTTCTTCTTTAAAAAGTAACTGTTGGGGACAACTGGGTGGCTCAGTGGTTGAGCATCTGCCTTTGGTTCAGGTCATGATCCCAGGGTCCTGGGATCGAGTCCCTTATCAGGCTCCCTGAAAGGAGCCTGCTTCTCTCTCTGCCTGTGTCTCTGCCTCTCTCTGTGTGTCTCTCATGAATAAATAAATAATATTTGGAAAAAAAAAAAAAAGAACGTAACTGTTGGGGTGCCTGGGTGACTCAGTTGGTTAAGCATGTGACTCTTAATTTTGGCTCAGGTCTTGATCTCAGGGTGGAGGGATCACACACTGGACTCTGTGCTCAGGAATGAGACTGCTTGAGGATTCTTTCTCTCTCCCTCTCCCTTTGTCCCTCACTCCATCATGTGCACGTGTCCTCTGTCTTAAATAAATTTTTAAAAAATAAATGAATAAAAATAAAAAGTAACTCACATTTGTGACAATCTTCTATTTGGACTAACAGTATTTTTTTTTTTTTGGACTAACAGTATTTTTGACCCTTGTAGCTATTGCTGTTTTTATATGCACTGCCTATTGAAAAGGTAGAAACTGTAGCTCTTAAATTTTTTTCTGCATTTTTATTACTGTGTATGTTCTTGTCTGATTTAGTGATTTATGTCTTACACTGAGTTCTAAAGGAAACCTCTTATTTCTGGAGAGTAGCTTTAATTCCCTTGAGGGTTCTCTGCCCCAGTAGAGGAGGTCCTGTGACTGGGCTGTGGCGCTGGGTTCCTAGTTTTCATCAGACTCTAGAGACACAGGCCTGACGACATCCAGAGGAGGAAAGAAAAACTGATGAGTTCTTAAGAGAATAAATAGAATTCTAGATGGATATTTATACTGGTTTGGTAAAATGGGCCATGAAGAGCCAGATCTATGAATTACACAATTAATGTCCACATGCTACATCATAATCTCATCCAGAATATAAATGAAGTCTTCTAAAAATCTAAGGACTAGATCCTTAGGATGGGAGCATCTTGTTCCTATATGGCTTCTACTCAAGCAACTAATTTTCTTAATAAATGACAGTGCTCGTTCTTCTTTTTTGGCCTGCTAAGGGCTCAGGCTGCCTTTGCTCTGCTGCTCAATCCCCATGCAGTCTGTGATAACCACCTTGAGGACTGACCAAGTCTGCTAAACTTAGTTGGGCTTGAAAGAGGTACTAGAGGGCAGCCCGGGTGGCTCAGTGGTTTAGCGCCACCTTCAGCCCAAGGCCTGATCCTGGAGACTCGGATCAAATCCCACATCAGGAGCCTGCTTCTCCCTCTGCCTGTGTCTCTGCCTCTCTCTCTCTCTCTGTGTCTCTCGCATGGATAAATAAATAAAAATCTTTAAAAAAAGGGTGGCCCTGGTGGCGCAGCGGCTTAGCGCCGCCTGCAGCTTCAGGTCTGATCCTGGAGACCCGGGATCGAGTCCCATGTCGAGCTCCCTGCATGGAGTCTGCTTCTCCCTCTGCCTGTGTCTCTGCCTCTCTTTCTGTGTCTCTCATGAATAAATAAAATCTTTTTAAAAAAAAATCTTAAAAAAAAAGGGATACTAGAGAAAATGTTGACTTCAAAATAAAGTCTTAATCCAGGCTATCGAATACCATCCGAAATAACTTTCAAAAATGGTAGAGACTTTATGACTGACAATCGCCACTGGCCACTTGATCTTAAACCTTGGGCTGAATACTGGATCATCCAGCATAAAGGCTGGCCTTCCACAGGAGCAATTATTATTGGTCCCAAGTCCCCTCTTTCAGTCTTCTCAAGAAATAAAATATTGTCTAGAAAGAGGTATCCCCTCTAACAGCCTCTGGTAGGAACATTCAGCTGTGGTCACCAAATGTCTGGTGCCTTAGTCACCAGGCACTTAGGACCCTCAGGGACTCAACTGACTCAAATGACAAAACTAGTAAATGAAGGGAACAATTCAGATGAAGTGAAACCCTAATAGATGGCATTGCTAACATTAACCTACCACCTGCAAGCTGACTTGTTTCCATAATCCACCTTAGCTTCCTGGTTTTGAAATGGAAACATCCCTGAGTTGCTATTTAGATTCTGGGTCTGGATTTGAATGCTATGGGTGTTTTAACATAAAAAACTAAGGACTAAGGCCAGCAAGAGTTGTTGTCATACCTAGGTAGGTAGGAGAGGTTGCATTGTTCTGTATCTTTCCAGAAGCTCTCCATTCTTCCTTGAAAGGGTATTGTAAATTACTTTTCTTACCTACCTGCTCTCTCACCAGTTTACTTCCTAAATAATGAAAGCAGTATCTTAAATTCTCACATTACTGCACAAGGTAGACACTATTATTGTCGCCATTCTATAAATTAAAAAAATGAAGGTGCAAATTTTGTTTAAGGTCACATGAGTGCCAGGATTCAAATGCAGATGGTCTGGCTCAAGTCTATGTTCTAGTCAATGATATCACCCAACTCTGCCCCAAAAGAAGCAGTGTGGCTGTTCCCTACTGGTTGTATCTCAGGAAGGCTATGGGCAAGCACTCTTACCTGGTCAGTCTTGAGACTCTTAGTGGGTAGCACTGTATCATCAGGTCATTCTGACTGATTTAAGTCCCTAACTCCATTTCAGGGTAGCCTGACAGTGTACTCCTTAGCTTCCTTCCAAAGCTCTCTCCCAAATGTACTTGAATGGTAAGAATCACCTGGAATACTTATTGTTAGAGGTGTAGCTTCTCAGGATCTCAGGAGTCACTGGATCTGATGTGGTCCCAGAAAACTGTATTTTTAACAACTGACCTAGGTGATTCTTCTGGTCTTCCCATCAGTCAAGTTTGGGAAACAGTGCTCCAGGAGTTTTAGCCAATGGGAGCAAATATAATTGATCTTAAGTATCATATATGTTAAGTCAAAGTATCACTAAGCAGAGGACATTTCTATAACTGAATTAATCCAATGCAATCAGTACATATGGCATGAAGTAGTTTTCTTCAGCAAGAACTTGGGGAGTCTACTGAAATGTCTTCGTTGTTTTGTTTTTTTCTTTTTGGGTGATGACTGTTAGAAAGAATTCTTTAATGGCTGTGCCCTTGAGGGAGTTTCTGCAATGCTTTGATTATGGGACAGCTTAAATCAAACAGAAAGTAAGCCATTTTATAGAGTTCTTTTAAGTCCTGCCTAAGAGAATTTAGGAGAAGGGTAAATTAAATAAAGAAAAGAAAGGAGTACACCATTCTAGTTCCTTGTAGGAGGAAACTACTTGTATAACTAAGAGAGAGACTTAGGCTTTCCAGTTAAATGTTCATGAAATCATATACAGAATGATTTAAGAGACTATCAGGGATTAATTCAATTTACACAGTCTCATCAGGAAGCAGAAACAATCTTTGACATTTACAAAAAACAAAAATGCAAAATTGTTGAAATTTGTGGTCATCAAAATATTGTTTAATGTTAAAAAAAAAATCTCTCAAGTGCCTAATCTGCTTTGACACCATATCCAACTGCCTGTCACAAATGAAGAGTTTCCACCCCAGGCATCACTCACAAGCAGACTCCTTTGGTTGCTATATTTATGAGTTAGTAGGAAAAAAAGGAAGAAAAAAATTAGAAAATAATACTAAAAGACAGTTAAAGGAGGAGAAAGCAAGCCCATCCTTTCTGTCCCATGGAATGCTCTGCTTCCCAGGCCAGGACAACTCTGAGCAGTGACTGAGGCAGGAATCCTACATACCTCTTGGTGGGGGTGGGCACTCCAGAGGACATGTGGCTCACCATGGTGTCATTCATATTAGCCAGGGGGCGAGGCGGACTGAAAGAAAAGACATTTACATTATATTAATAATTACCAAAATGACCGAGGGAAACAAATGAAAGAGTGATAAGAGCAAAGGAACCAACTATCATTCCTCCTGATAAGCACAGTGGGAGCCACGGGAAGGAGGGGTGGGAATCAATATGCACAGCCCAAGCAAACTCCACCAGATGGGTTCTCTAGTTCAAAGCCAATGGACCACAACGCTATGCTGTACCAGGAGGAGAGACCAGTGAAACACACACACACACACACACACACACACACACACACACACACACACGACAGGGATATAACTCCGCTGGCTTTTGTTTCATAGTTCAGTATACAAGCCTGAATTGCTACTTAACATGCAGTTTCTCTGCATTTTAGGTGTTTCCAGGGTTATGAGGTGTTTGATGTTTGTGGTACATTATACAGATCACAACAGCAATGTGTATGTTTTTCCTGATTTGGTTAGAGTTCACTGTCTTCCCTTGGATTTAATTTCCACACTTTATACCAAAACAGACTGTAAAATGTTAAATTCTCTTATTAGCCCTTTACTAGAATCTTAACAATTAACCCATACCTCATATTTATCCTCTAATTAGAATGCTTTCTTTTATAACCTAATCCAAATTTACATTTGAAGGTAAGTGTATTTAATAACTGGTCTTTAGAGCTGGTTTTCCGGAGTCAAGGTCAGTGCTCTCTCTTGGAGAGTCTTAAATGAATGAATCCAAACTTACCAAAAGGAATCTATGATTTTGCCTTTCAGCCATCTTCAGCTTCTCTCCCTCCCTACTAAGTTAGCTATAAAGGGTTTCTGTCTTGCATTTGGAGCCACATGACTATTGCTAAATATTACTCCTGGGAAAACTCTCACTTCCTCTCCTGAATTGAAAGTACTTTTCCGAGAAATATGTCCATCAAAGCCGAAAAGTGAAGCAGAAAAGTCCTTCTCTCATATTTAGGTGCTTGGGAACTAGCTCCTGGTTTCTCCTTATAGTTAAGTGCTGACTTAATTATGTAAAGTGTTTTTGTAGAGGTCTTGGTGAATATTAAGGGACAAGAGCCTTTGCTGTTTTGCAGGTTTTATAGGGCACTCAAAAAGAGAATCAAGGGAAAATGTTCAGGTAAAGCCAACCTATCTAAAGGAAAGGTTAAGAGGGATGGATCAATCTGTCTACCTACCTGTGTACCTACCTACTTACCTATCTAGCTCTATATCTGTCTATATATACTCCTGCCCCCCCTTTTTCTAACCCAATTTCATTTCTGGGTAGGGAAATATATGATTTTCCATTTAATGGAGAGGATGAAAGATGGAAAGTAATTTACAGAGAACAGATTTAGGTCTCTTGATTTTTATGCTATAGCACTATGCTTATTTTACACATTCCTCCCTTTATGTGACAAGTCACAAAGTAAGACATTCAAAACTGAAATATGCCTTTCTAGGCTAGAATTTAATTCCACATAATTTATCTCCCTACCTGTCTTCCAGGCTGATATCCAATATTGCTCCCAAACTTTTAAGCCTATTAATGCCGGTGGCTGTGCTGAATTATAATCAATCAATCAATTGTTTTGGACTAATAATAAAAATAAACATAGAAATTAACTTAATTTTAGTCCTAAATTTATATTTTTGCCTCTAGTCCTTTTAAATCAATTGTCCAAATGGAACAAGGAGACAATTCCTATTAGAGAAACAAATCCAACACCACAGCTTTTCATGCTTGAGGGCACCAGAAACATTTTACTCCTGAAAATAGAATGGGCTTTGCCTCTTTAATATATTATTATTCATAACCCATTTCCCAAATAAGATAAGGACACACTCAGGTTGCTTTCAGAACTAATGCAGTTACCTAGTATTTTTCAATATTCAAGATACCACTACATTCAATTTCCTGTCTGATATTCTTAGAGGAAAAAAATGACAATAGAAAAAAAACTTTTAAATATTTCTTACACATGGATCCATGTGATAAAATTTCATGATTTGTAGTATTTTGTTTAGTCTGATGCCACAAAAGTCATTAATCATATCTATCTCTTGGCAGATATCATGCTCAATTATTATCTTAGAGCACACATATCAAAGCCTCTTCTCTAATATTCAGAACCAGATAGTAATGATTACATTGTAAGTTGGTGGCTAATCATAATTACCCCCAAAGTTCATAGTCTTTGTGAATCTCAAGCACATTTTGCTAGAGTAATAGGTGCTACGGGTTTGCAGTCTAAGATGAAAGAGGCATACTTCTTTCATTCAGGTGCAGCAGTATCTGATATCTCACCTAGGTAGGTCTTTGGTACTCTTTTTTTTTTTTTAAGATTTCTTTTTTTTTTTAAATTTTTATTTATTTATGATAGTCACAGAGAGAGAGAGAGAGGCAGAGACACAGGCAGAGGGAGAAGCAGGCTCCATGCACCGGGAGCCCAACGTGGGATTCGATCCCGGGTCTCCAGGATCGCGCCCTGGGCCAAAGGCAGGCGCCAAACCGCTGCGCCACCCAGGGATCCCTGTTGGTCTTCTTTAACATTCAAAATGTGTTGGAATGTGAACTGGTGCAGCCACTCTGGAAAACTGTGTGGAGGTTCCTCAAAGAGTTAAAAATAGACCTGCCCTACGACCCAGCAATTGCACTGTTGGGGATTTACCCCAAAGATTCAGATGCAATGAAACGCCGGGACACCTGCACCCCGATGTTTCTAGCAGCAATGTCCACAATAGCCAAACTGTGGAAGGAGCCTCGGTGTCCATCGAAAGATAAATGGATAAAGAAGATGTGGTTTATGTATACAATGGAATATTACTCAGTCATTAGAAATGACAAATACCCACCATTTGCTTCAACGTGGATGGAACTGGAGGGTATTATGCTGAGTGAAGTAAGTCAATCAGAGAAGGACAAACAGTGTATGTTCTCATTCATTTGGGGAATATAAATAATAGTGAAAGGGAATATAAAGGAAGGGAGAAGAAATGTGTGGGAAATATCAGAAAGGGAGACAGAACATAAAGACTCCTAACTCTGGGAAACGAACTAGGGGTGGTGGAAGGGGAGGAGGGCGGGGGGTGGGGATGAATGGGTGATGGGCACTGAGGGGGGCACTTGACGGGATGAGCACTGGGTGTTATTCTGTATGTTGGTAAATTGAACACCAATAAAAAAATTAATTTATAAAAAAAAAAAGCAAAATGTGTTGAACACCTTGAGCACATTACTAGATTTTCTACACCTTCCTCTGGTGTAGAAGCAAGGTATCTTTAGATTCTAATGAGTTCTGTGATACCCAAATGACCACCAACCATCACCTGGTACAAAATCGGGAGGTTCCTTCTTTGTTCATAAGACATGCCAATTTTTTGATGAGAAGATAGAAGCAGATGGATGATAAGAGATAGAAGTAATGTGCTAGGCAGAAGAGGTGGGTATAAAAAGAAGACTTGGAGAGAATTTTTAGGATCTTAATCAAAAGGAAAGAAGCATTCTTACTGGGTGTCTACTTATAAAAACTAAGTAAGACTATCTTCACCTCAATAACCTAATCATATATTGATGAAGACAGATATGTAAACAAATTATGCAAAGTAATGAGAGCAGCATAACACATACCAAGTGTTGAGGAGTCTAATGGAGAGCAATTATTCCTTCCTAGAAGAAGTAGGGGCAAGAGCAGTCAGGGTGAAGTATCATTGATGAAAGAGATTCCCAGCTACAGAAAAAAATGTTACAGGCACCCCACATGGATTTAGTGATATGGAAAAGGGGATTGAAACCCAAAAGTACATGGCATATTTGGGTCTTAGTTGGCTGGACTCAAAGGCACTTAAAGGGGGAGTAGCTGGAAATGCCTCTGGAAAAGTAGATTAGGGCCAGGAAGTGAATGAAACCTGTTTTATCACAAGCTAAGAAGTTTGGACTTTCTACCAGAGGCAGTGGAGGAAGCATGGAACATTTTTAAGTCAAAGGATGATGTACTTATAATTGGGCTTTGAAAAGAAAACACAAGAAGCGTGTAAATCACTGGTTTTTTATCAAAGAAATCATCTCAGAAAACCAGGTACCTAAGCTCTACTCTTACATTTAGTGAACCTGAATCCTGATGGGGAAAGAGGGCTTTTTCTAATGCTTACTCCTTTTAAAAATCATTTATATGGGGCAGCCCTGGTGGCTCAGCGGTTTGGCCGCCTTCAGCCCAGGGCGTGATCCTGGTGTCCTGGGATCGAGTCCCATGTCGGGCTCCCTGCATGGAGCCTGCTTCTCCCTCTGCCTGTGTCTCTGCCTCTCTCTGTCTCTAATAAACAAATAAAATCTTAAAAAAAATAAAAATCATTTATGTAGAATGGATTGAGAAGAAGGATAGAATGGAAGCTAGGAGACCAATGAAGAAGTTACAACAATTGTCCAGGGATTACAAGGGTAGACAGTGAGAAAGAGAGAAAAGGAAAAATACTGGCAGGTAAAAGAGATAAGGTACAGAGACCGAGTCAGTGTGTAATTAGTGGGTCAAGAATAACTACTGGTGGCTAATGATATTGAAATCCAATCTAGGAAACACAAGAGGAGGAAACAGGACTTGGTGTTGGGTAGACAGAATGAGTAGGGAGGATTTCAGTTTTGAAATTGCTGATTTGAAGTGGCATGGATAAGTACAGATAAGTGATATCTATATAGCAGCTGGGGAAATAGGAGAATAGGAACCCAGGTGACATCCCAAGTTTGAAAATAATTGAGTGTCATCATTTAAATTGTAGCTGTTCATTTGAGTATTCTGATCACTATAAAGGTGTATTTTTATTTACTGTTTTTAAATAGATCATGGTAGGTTTGAGGAAATATTCAGTAAGAGGGTGGCTTAGATAATAGGTAAAGAGCTTCCAGTTACTGGTCAGATACACCTCTTATCATAAAGTAAAAATTTCACTTACTGGTTCAAGTAATTTTCACATTACTTCTCTCATGACTAGACTATTCCAATTCATTCTGGCAAGTGCTCTG